CCAGTAGTGAATGGTAAGGATAGGTGAATGTATCTCACTTATTTGATTGGGTTTTGGGGGAAATAATTCTGGACAGGGAAAGGGTTAAATGAGGGAGATGGGCTGGCTGTTTTAGAGGCATTTCTTAGGCAGGATATGGGGGAGACAAAGGAGGGTGGATTGGTGTGGGTGTGGGTCAATGTGTCTTGGATTTTTGTGGCTGTTTATTTAGCCTAGTTGAGGGACACAATGGGGGGTTTTTGACAGGTTATTTTCGGCCAGTATATGGGGGTAAGGGAGTGCTTATTTAGGCTATTATTAGGAGTGGTTTTGGCCTTAAGGGTGTAAATTTAATGGAAGGACAATTGTGGGGTTCAAAGGGTGTGGTGGTGTGTTGGGTTGTGAGGTATATTTGGCCAGGGAATGAAAGGAAGGGAGAGAAGGTTTTATTTGTTTATTAAAAGACTTAAAAGAAGGAAAATAACAACAAACAAAAGGTTTTATTTTACACACTCTTATTTTTGGTCCTGGGCTAAAATAAGAGTAGGAAAAACTTTATTTTGGATATCAAAAGGAAATAAAATACTTTTGGATATTTGGGAGGGGTTGGGATTTTGGTGGAGCTATCCAGGGGTATAACAGAAAGTGTTTACTTTTCATTGGAATAAACACGTATTTTGTGCGACAAGGGGGAAAAGTTAGGTCAACCTTTCCTCATTCTCCATGGAAAGTGAATGGCAGATGGGAAGGTGGATTTTCATGGAAAGTTGATTAAATTCTACTTTGACCACTTTCTAGGGAAAGTTCCAAGCACATCCTTAGAGTGAGTTTCTAGGCTGACTCAACTTGTCTTTGTAGTTATCAATGCAGCTTACATGACAAAGCACGTAGGACACATGTAGATGTGCATTATTAGCAAGAGGGTACCAAACTTATTGCACTAGAGCATGATAAGAGTGACACTATTGGCAAATTTCACGTGCCTTGTCACTCATATCACTATGACCCCAAAAATCCAACTATTTCATATGGCTAGTTACTCATGTCATCACTCTCACCACTTTAATTCCAAATATGTCATGTAGCTTGTTGCTCATATCATGCTTTTTTAGTGTCAATTACTAGCCTAAGATTAGCTGTCACTATATGTTCAAGTGACCAAAAAAGATAGTGACAAGCTTTTGTGATGGATGCTCTTATTGTGGCAATCTTTTTAAGAAGAAACAATGAAATAAAATTCCAAAATTGTTATCATCATATGTTTTTTCACTTAGTAGTAAATATCATGATATTGTGTACATTGCTAATGGAACTTAAGGAGTCCTTCTTTGAAAATGTTTTAGCTTTGACAAAGTTTTAATCCATAATACAACAATGCATCAGGGGTCTAATGAAAACAACCTATGTTATTTACAGAGGTAAGACTGCATGATATCACAATTAGTTGAGATGGCTACTATAGTGACATCTCATTGCAAAATGCAAAATAACTTGTGCATATTCTGATCATTATCAGTTGAAATAGGCTGCTATTAGATTTTGTATGACATCTACTCCGGAGACAAACAATTAATGATAGAGCGTTTTTTCTTGGACCACAACTTCATCAGTTTTAAATATCCTGAATGTTAATTTTCTTTAAAATTTATAGTGGTATTGTTCAATGGATGGTGAAATTACAAGGAAGAGTTGAATGCTCAGCTGCAATTGTTTGTGATTTTTCTCAGGTTTTCACATGTGCCTCCAATCCATCATTTTTCTAACATAGCATTCAACAGCTTTCTATCTCTTCTAACACTACTTCAATACTTAATTTCCAGGTTGTTGTTGGCTGTTATGAGGGAAATATTTATTTTCTTAGTTTTTCAAATGGCAGCACACTTTGGAGTTACAGAACACATGGAGAGGTATAAATAGGCAAATTATCAATTTTCTTAAGCAGCCGTCATTACTTCTATTTTAATGTGGACATTGGGTGAGTGCTCTGCTTATATTTCTTCATTTGATAATGATAAGACAAAAAACTGGTGTGGTAGGCATAAAAGATTTAGCAGTAGAATGATATCGCATAACCTCCACACGTGATGTCCATATTTAGCTCTGTACAAATTACAATAAATTATTGTTCTTTGAATTTGGATGGTTGATGTTTAATCACCCTAACTTTCTCTCTTTGTATTGTCTATTGAAATAATCTCATTTTTCAGCAAACCAACAATCTGATTTTTCATGCCCTCTTTTGTTTTTGACACAATATATTGAAAAGGTCAAAGCACAGCCAGTGGAAGACAAATCCAAGCACCTGGTCTGGTGAGATTTCATTCCGTTCCTATATCATTGCTATTGTAAAGTCATTGTCTACTGCAACTCTATCCCTTCTTCGCACTCTTAATAGTGGACCCTCATTGACTAATTCTGAAAATTTTCCTTAAAGGAGAAGTTGGTTTTCTGGTTCTATGTATTGCTCAGTTGGAATAATCATCTTTACTTGGATCTACTGGTGTTTATGCAGGAGTTGAATATACTAGATTTGTTTGATTTGGTTTGGTTAATTAGGTTTACTATGAAGAGCAACTAATGGATTAAGATTGTCTTTTTCTGATGCTCTACACCTGAAATCTGATTCTGTTCACTCTGCACGTGTGTGTGTGTGTGACAGTGTGTGTTTTGTGTTTTTTTAAAGGTTCAATGGCCTATTAGCCAATGGATATAGAATACTTTTACGATAAGACTCTACTCTTTCTTTGAGTTTCTTTCTGATACATTTAATCCAGAAGCAAGAAGCATTACAGTATATTCAGCATTTCTTGGAAATAACAAAGGGTAGATGCACGGCAGCTCTGGTGTAAGCACCTAGCTGATGGTTTGTTGACATGAATGTTGATTCTTATTTCACCCTTATGATTTCAACTCTATTTTAGCTTTGGGTCAGAAAATCTATGTTCAAAACCTTGTGTTTACAGGTCAGGTCATTTTTTCAGGTATAATAATGCAGTACTATGACTATCACATGATAGTAAAGTGTCAAATACTCTTTACAATAACCCATACATACACTAGTATACAATACTCCATCATTAAATTGAAGTGTGGAAAAGTGAACAGCTTATGCTGCTATGGAATTCTATCTTTAACCTCTTGAGTGTCTGTATGCTGCCTTCAACTACTGTCCACTTCCAATGTGCTTCCCTTTATACAAAGTCTACAGATAATACTAGAGATTGAGATCTCAGTTTATTTTACTCACAAAATGAGATGGTGCCTTCAGTTTGCTGCCAAAACTTTTGCTTTACTTTTCCACGAAATGTACTGTATGTGTGTTTATAATTTGACATTTATTAATTTATTCCGAGTTCTGACAAATTCAAGAAGGTAATATACACTCATGCTCTCATATTCTATTTTCTCTCTGCATTTCATGTCCTCTTACCTGACTAAATAATTTTATTCAGGTGTGGGTCTCATGATCACAACCTCTATGCCCTGGACTACAAAAACTATAGCTGCGTTTTCAAATTATCTTGTGGTGGAAGCATATTTGGCTCACCTGCAATTGATGAGGTGGGAGTTTTGAACTTTGATGACCAATTATAGTACAACAACAACCTCGTATAGTCTCTATTGTGTTGCAATCTACGACCATTTATAGTAAATGCACTAATTTGTGTACTATTTACCGTATTGAACTGTTTCGACTGAACAGGTGATGGTGCAAGGTTGTGAACTGAAGTTTTTGTTTACTTTTACCATTTTCTTCTATCTAAAAACTGTTTTCTGCCATTTTTAGATGCAAGAAAAACTTTATGTGGCATCAACAAGTGGGCGGCTAACAGCAGCATCTACTGAGGTGTTTTCTATTTGTCATCTTGAAAAAGTCTTGTTGTACTATCAAATACTATCTCTGGGTTGATATGATGATATCTTTTCTCTAACATGGAGCTACCATCAACTTCATCTTCTTCCAGATCAAGCAGAGACTTGATCCATTAGCTTGCACTGGTATCTAAACAATATTTTATCATGCAGATTCAACTGTCTCATGTACTATGGGTAAAAGATCTGGGAGCCCCTGTTTTTGGGCCGCTCTCCATGAATTCTACTTATGAGATAGGTAAATTTTGCTTTCTGATCTATATTGTCAAGGTTTGTAGTGAGCAATCCTTGGTAGACTTCTATGGATGGTCCAGCGCAGGTATGCTCATCCAATTCCTGCAATTTCATTTGATAATTATCTTAATTTTGGTATTTTAGTGATTTGCTGTCTTGTTGATGGAAGTGTTCTTGCGTTGGATGTGACTGGGGCAATTGTTTGGAAGGTATTCTGACATTTTAAAAAGTAATTTACATACTTTGACTTTGCATCAATGCAGTTCATGATATCTTAACCAAATGCCCATATCAATTTGGGTGAATTGCAAAACAAACCATTCATTTATATTTTTAACCAAACCAAACAAGTCTCGCACAGCCCACACCAGCGTTTTTTTGTTTTGTTTTTTGTTCTATGTTTTTTTTATTTTTTTCGCTGGGGGGGGGGGGGTG